GTTATAATTCACTGGAGAGGGATAATGAACAGGTTTAATATGCATGGTGGTTCACAGAGTAGCACAAAGCAGTCGCTGTGAATTTCATGTCATATGGGCTATGGTCAGAGATCTCTTGGGGAGGTGATGTGAGACCTGAGTGATAATGGTATGATGAATGCCCTTAGAGATTCTCCAAAACCACATGGAGGGATCCCCAGGGCACCCTTTACTGGCCCTTTTAATTCTTGTTTTACCGCAAGAGCTCTGGCCTACCTTTTTAGTAGGAGGCCAAACCATTAATTTCCTGATTATCACAGGCGCTACCTTCTCAGACCTTATTTCCTTCCATGGGTCTTGCTCTCACTTCTGTTAGGAGCGTCTCAGGGCCTCCCATAGAACACTTCTCTGAACCTACATTCTGCTCTTATAGCCAACTTCATTTTACCCACTCATTTCTTAAAATACCTGAGACCCTCGCTCCTCTTCTAGGGAAAGATTTCTTGTCCAAGGCTCAGGTCCGACTCTTACTCCCACCAGGTCAGAGGCCTTCTCATGTCTCCTTTGGTAGAACTTCACGTGGACCTATCTGTATGTTTGGATGCAGAAATAGTGAGAAGAGCACTAACTGCCGCTCCTGTCTCGATCCACCTGAAAGACCCTACTTCTTTCCTCCTCATCAAGAAGTTAGGGAGGGCCAATGACCCTATTTTTTAAAAGGACTTCTCAGAGAAAGAGTCAGCCCTCAGAACAGTCCCATCCACAGGGTTAAAAAAAAGGACCAAACAAGTGGAGATTGCTTCAGGATTGTCTTAATGAGACAGTAGTGCCACTCTACCCAGTAGTTCTCAATCCCTATAAAATATTGACCCAAATCTCAGCTTCTGCCAAATGATTCTCTGTCCTAGACCTTCACGATGATTTCTTCTGTATCCCATTGCATCTCAGAATCAAAATCTATTTGCCTTGGAGAATCCCCTCGCTGGGACAGAGCAACTAACATGGACAATCCTTCCCCAAGGCTTTTGTGACTGTCCATACCTATTTTGGTTGACTCTAGCATATCTTTTGATTGTGGTCTAGAGGGAATCACAATATGATTTGATGCTCTGGGGACAAACCGATATGCTGCTGGAAAAAGGCACCAAGTCCCAATTTTCTGGCCCCTAAGGTATATAATGTGCACAGATTTGTCTAACCCAAGCCACTTAAGACTACTTATTTCGTCAGGTAAAAGAGCTCTAAGCCCTGAAAGGATACAATCTGGGAAATAGCAACCACCTTCAAGGTCTTTGGAATGACTGCCTTAATGAACTGCTTGCTCTTGGGCACCTTACTTATATTGTTATAGCTAATACAGCTTAAATAAAAAAAAATGTTACTGCTGTTGGCCTCTGGAATTGCTGAGGCTTTCAGGAAATAACTTCAGAGATCTCCAAAACTCCCTAGACACCCTGCTTGGAATGGTCCTAGAACATGAACAGATTCTTGACTGGATTCTGGCTCAACAGGGAGGAGTTTGTGCCATACTTAATGATTCTTGTTGGACCTACATCAATACCTCACAAAAGATTGAGACTCAAACTAGTATCATTTTAGATAGGGCTAAATGGCTCTAGAGACAGAGCAACACAGATTGCTTAGCATTTCAGGGATTTTTCCCAGATAGTCATGGTTGCCTTCTGTTTTGGCCTAGCTCCTTCCTTTTGTGGGGCCACTAATACTTTGATTTTTATTGTGCTTGCTTGGGACCTGTGTACTTAATTGCCTTACTGACCTCATTTCAGAACACATCAATGCTATCAAAATGCAGATGGTCCTGCAGTTGACCCTGCCAAGGAACTACCAGCCTCTCTCTACTACAGCCACCTAGACCATTCCCCTTCACCTGACAACACCTACCTGGAAGCCCAATGTGGCCTCTAACTAGCAGGAAAAGGCCAGAATGGTCACCACTCTAGTCAATATACTGTGTCAATGGAATGACTGAGTTCAGAGAGGGGAATGTAAGAATAGTTAGAAGGGGCTAATGTTTGTGTATTTACCTCAAGCTTATGGCACACTACATAGAGGAAGGCAGCTCTTGTAAAATTATTACATGTACCACTATGCCCCCCCTTTAGTCTCCTTGACCTTTCTTCAACCCAGAAATGAAGGCTAAGACCCTGATTGGCCTAGATTGCATCAATCATTGAAGCAGTTGTTTTCAGAAATTAGCCTCCCCTGTAAGTACAAGTCCCCTGACCATTGAGAAATTCAGTCAAATTCCCTCTGCCTTATAGCATGTTGTTGCAAGGTAGCTAATTCTCCTGTATTCACACAGTAAATAAACTTTTGTTTGGCACTGCTTTCCCTTCTGACTTCTTCATTCTGTGACAAACCTGACTGTCTCATTCTCTGCTAGGGATCTTCAGCTGTAAGCCAACCTCAGTCTTCTTCATCTTTCTTTGCCGGAGTAGAGGTGAAGCACCTGAATACATATGGGGTGGGGAGGAAACAGGAGGTCATCGAAGACCCCTGGCCCCTCAAAGATCACCCACCCAGTGCCACAACAACGTCCGCTATCTATAAATATCAGATATATCTTCTTCAATTTAAGAGCCCATGAAGACATAAATCAAAACATGTAATACCTATCAGCTGATACTTCTGGTTTAAGTCCTCTGTGTGGAGTCAGTATTTTATACTAACTCTATTTTTTTCTTTTGGGATGAAGAAATGGAAAATATGTTCCTCTGGCTATTCATGATCCTAACTTCCAATTTTAGATGAAACAATCAGCAAATCTCTGTAAGATATTCATTTCTCCCCACCCCCCCATGGTTTCTCCACTGTAGAACACAATAATTGTTTATGGTTCTTGTATATGATATGTTCATCCTGTCTTTGCATAGCTATTACATCCAATAACCTTATGTTCTAATGAGTCCTTTATAGTTTGCCCATTCTGAATTAATTTAAACAAAATGAAATATATATAATAAAAAACCAAATATTTTCATTTACACATTTCTTGTCAAACTAAATATTTTGTTATTTGACCCAGAGTTTTTAATACATTGTCTATATTATAGAAATTGCAAATCTCTCCTTAGTGACTATTTTGCTATTTTCTTTCCTAAATCAAGGACTATCATGAATCTTTTATACTTCCACCAATGATTTCACATGAAAATTTCTACTCTATCAATAGTTATAATCTCTATCTGAATTTGGAAAATGTGAACTTGGATAGATGACTACAGAGAAAAGAATAATGTATTATATTTGCTTCTTGGAACTCAAATTGCAAATTTCAATTTCAGACAGAAGGATTTGTAGAAAAATATGCCTAAATCCATTAGTTCCTCAATTTGAATGCCAATAGTGTGGATAGATAGGGATCGATGAATGCATGTGAGTGCATAGTTTTTTGTACTTTTTGAAATTTATATGAATGGATTCATATGGTTGATATAATTTTTTCTACTTTTAAATAAGTGTTTTTGCAGACTTATCCATGTTGTTTTTTTCACTTCACACATTTTGATTGCTACATTATATTATATGACATAATTTGTACATCCACCCATTATCATTTTTCTTAATTTTAAGTAAGGTATCAATGAACAATCTTTTATATTATATATGCCCATATAGAAGAAGTATTCTGTTTTCCATTTATGTGGGCAATTCTGGGTGGAGGACTTGAACTTCCTCATTTTACAAGATGCTACCACATTGTTCTGTCTTGTGCTTTTAACAATCTACCATCCATCATCATGGGAGCTCTCTTTTGTCTGCTTGCTTATCCAAGCTAGCAAATATCAACATTTGCTCTCTGTTTTCATTTGTATTTCTCTCATTACTAACTAATTAATATCTTTCACATTTTCATTGCTTAATTTTCTTTTTTGTGAACTGCTGGTTCAACTGTTTTACTCAAACTTATATGAGAACAGTTATCTTTATCTTACTAATGTGTAGTCATTACATAATATCTACATATTAAAGCCCTGGTTGTTATTCACTGTGTTACTTCAGAAGTCACCTGACTTTCTCCATGTTCCCTAGAGCTGGACACCTCCTGCTCATATACTTGACTCCTATACTATTTGTTTTTGTTTTCATGATTATCTTCTTAAAGACTGCTTTACCACTAGATTTTATACGTAGTACCAAGTCTGTTTCTTCCTATCTCATGTAGAAGCCCTGAGGATCAGTGGTTCGGACATACCAGACACCTAACTAGTACTTTCTGAGTAAGTGGCTATATGATTGGACAAATGAATTAGTTAGTTGTATCATATTTTGAGGCAAGTTATTAATCATGCATAGATCCTCAGAGTATAAGATTAAACAAAGCTTCTCTTCAGACATAACTGCTCACTTCGTATTGAAAACAAATTAATTAAAGCTAGCAGTCTTTAAAAGACTGAAAATGATCACCATTTGAGACTTAAAATTATGTTTTCGGTAGCTTCTTTCAGCTGATCATAACAACCTTCTTCAAATATCTCGTGGAATAAAGGATTGCCTTGAAAAAGAGAGAAGTGAATGCTGCCTATCATTTTAAGTGTCCTTTTATTATAAAATGCTGTGGAGTATTTATGCAAATACGCATGAATAACAAATGGAGTTGTTCTGATCAAGAATATTACAATGCAGACTCAATGAACTGATTGTAAACAAAGTAAAGCTCTTTATAATACAATAATTCTTTACTGGCTTGAAGTTTGATGAACTTTAAAGAAAAATGTTTAAATTGAATTATATGATGTTATAGTAACTAAAGTTTTACCAAGCCTCTCTCCAACTTGGATTACATAAGAAGAAGAGAAAAGCATATTTAAGTACTGTTGAGATTTTTTACTTTTTCATGTATAGGTTTTTTAAGCAGAAGGAAACAAAGCTTAGCAATAGTCTATTTTTCTAATTAAATCTGTATTAATAGCATATACTGCTAAATACTTGGCATAGATTATATTGATGAGCACAGCCATGTTTCCTGAGTCATTCATTCTTTTGTCTTTTTGTTCTAGCTCTTTTACAACTCCTAGGGATTTTGGAAAGAAAGGACAAGAAAAACAGCTAAGGTAAAATTAACTCCTACTTTCCACACATGCCCTCAGATTCAGGCATATAGATAGCAATTTAATGAAAGCTTTCATGAAGAACTCATAATCATTGCTTCGGCCAGGGCTCCATAATTTGTAGGAACCAATACTCAAAGAAAATGTGAATCCTTTGTTCAAAATTAATTAAGATTTTCAAGAGATTGACTGCAGAGCATTAAATAATGTGTGGGGCCGTTTTTTGAGCCTAGCAGGCTGCTCATTCATAGGTGGGAGCTTTCATATTTGCTCTTATAATTACATATTTCTTCCAGTTTTTGACCTGTGGCATTCATTTGTATCTGTCTTGCATCTGTGGCTGCTGATGAAGTGCAGATGAAGTACATGTAAGCCTTAGGACTGGGCTCCAAGGGAGCATGACAACCTGAACTTTAGCTCTACCGTGGATGAGCTGTTCAGTGATCCCTGAGAATACTCTAGACATTTCCAGGGGGAAGCAACAGTGTCTAGCTCAGCTATTTTTCCTCAAAAATGAGCCACAAATATAAATTATTAAATCTATTTCAATTATAAATTATAATATTTCTATGATTTTTCATTTCCTCGGGAAAATTTAGTGTGAAATTATCTGACACGGTGCCATCATCTAGATTAAAGAAGATTTTAATCTGAAAGTGAATGATGTGTATAGTACTGCATGTGATCTTGCGTTATATACTAGTGTCTTTTCTTTTCTTTTTATTTGGACAACGTTGTCATACCACCTACCATATCAATATAAACTGCCATTTCTTCATGAACTTTTTTAAACATATGTCAGAATTTTGTTTTTTGTTCCTCTCTTCAAAAAGTTGAAAGGGTACTTGAGATCTAGACCTCCCATCTGATATTTTGTCAAGTGCTCAAAAATGATTGAAAAGAGAAAGATACAAATGTGATCTTTTAATCCTGAGTTTCAGACAGAGATGTAAAGTTGAATCCAGCACGTAGATTCTGATAGGGAGAGTCTAAAAATAGGGTGTTACTTGACATCAAGAAGAGGAAGCCAGTTTGAGTCACAGTGATCAGTTTGTTTGTAATGGGCTCCATCATAGCAGAATTCACGTGCAACACCATTCAGCCCTGAGAAAGGGAAAAAAAGAAAGAAAAGACAAAAAAAATCAAAGTTTACCCATGTGAAAGCTCACCAGTCTCCGGTAAGACTTTGTCTTAGGAGAGAAGCTGACATGAGAGAATAATTAGTGCTACCAAGGGAGCAGTAAGATGGCAAATGAGAGCAGATAAAGGCTGAATGGAGGCAGCAGGACAAGTTAGGGCAATAGGAATAATGACCTTCAGGACAAGGAAAGTTTGTCTGACATTGTCAGAGCACTAATAGGCATGGTGGCTGCAGGAGGGAAATAGGATTATATGGAACATACATAGTCTTTGGATCCTACAGATAAAAAAAAAGACATGTTTCTTTATAATAGGATAACAACAGGCTGAGGAATGCAAAAGAATGACATCGCCAATCAGAAAAGCATAACATAACCTGAGATAGCAAGGAAAATGTGTACAACCTGACTCTTCAGGATGATCATAAATAAGTTACAGGGCAAGTTAAAGGGAGGTCATTCTTTGTGGACAGAATAACCTGAGTAAAGCCACAGAAGTGTGGTCCATGTGATGTGCCATAGATTTATAGGTAAATTAATATTTACTAGGGTTCATTTCCAGGCAAAAATGGAAGGAAAATAAATCGAAGAGATTAATAGGTCAAGTCATGAAAGGGCTTGGATGTTACACCTTAAATATTTATAAGTTATTTTTTAAAAGATACAGATAAGGAAAGTTTATATTTTGTATTTAACCGTATGTGAAGTAAAAAGATCTGTGGGTGGAGACACCAGGCAGGAAGTCACAGCAGCAACCTGGTAAGAACAGATGATGGTTTGTACTAGAGACTAATAGCAGGATTGGACAGGAAGGGGCACATGTCAGAGGGATTTAAGAGGTAAAGATATTATTAACCCACTAGTCTGTAGTTTAATTATGAACTTGAGGGGAAGGAAATAAATAATGGTATCTAAGAGCTACTGAGAAATGAAGGACTAAATATACCCTTCAGGAAGTATGTGAGCTAATTTTAATGGTACAGAACATGTTATTCAGGATAGGTTGTTCACTACAACAAAAAACAAGTAAAGCTCTCAGGGGCTTTACAGCATGTTTATTTCTCACTCATGGTGCATGTCCCATGTGAGTAGTGAGGGATCTGTGCTCTGCACAAGCACTCAAGAACTACAGGCACAGCCATTTTCACAGGTAGCAAGCAGGGGAAAGTAGGTTGGAGCATTGTCCGTGAACTTTCTACAGCCAAGTAACACATATTTTTTTCTGGCCGCATTTCTTTCACACGTCCGCATTCAATTTACAACTTATACAGAAGTTTGATCTTTATTATGCACAAAGAGAAAGAAGAAGCAACTACTGATGAGCTAATGATAGCCTATTTTGCTGTAAAGTTGTGTAGAATAAGAGGACTAAACTTAGCTATAGGAAAATGTCACCAACATCTATTTTGTGATAACTTCTGCCATTAAACACAAATAAATTAAAAGTTCATTTATTTAGTCCTTACAACTATCCAGTAAAATAGATACTCCTAGAGATTTTTAGAAATTTAAATTTGTTTTTTAAACATCAGAAATGTATTTATTTATTTATTTATGTAAGTTATTACACAAAATTTTGTAGAGAATCATATGATTTTACAAATGTATATGCTGAGTAATGTTCAAATCAAGGTAAATGTATGTATCTCTTCAAATTTTATTATTTCTTTATGCTAAAAACATTTATGAATTCAACTACATTTTTTGTAGATTCTACCTGTGATTTTTTAATGATTATTATCAACCTCATTGGATTAAGAAATGCCTAGCATAGTAGTAAAACACAGATCTATGGGTATCTGTAGAAGTCTCCAGAGATTACTAATATATGAGCCAGCAAACTCTGGGGAAGATCCACCCTGATGTGGGCGGCACTATGGAACAGGTTCACAGCCTGGACGGAATGAATAACATGACCTGTGTTTACAAAGCTCCATTCTGCTTGAGCAGAAATGTTTTTTGTTACTGTTACCACTGATAGAGTCAGACTCCAGCTTCTTCAGCAATTCTCATGGGCTTTTGGGCCTTCTACCTGGGACCAAAGCTGTATTTTTTTTTAATTGAGTTTATTGGTATATTTTAGATATACGATACAGTTACATTCATCATTGGGATCTTGTACCTCTACGTGACAGGTCTTGCTTCTCATTTTTTCCCCTTGTCCCTGCCCTCCCTTCTCCCCCCCATTTACAAATACTTCATTTCCATCTTTTCATTCTCTCACATTTCTTTTCCCTTATTTCTTTCCCCTACTCTTCCCACTTTCCCTAAACCTTTAGCCCATTTTTTCCTATTTCACAATGTCAGTTATCTCATTAGGATCTTATGTACTATTACAGTTTATTCACACCAGAGAAACTATTCAGTATTTACACGTGTGACTTTAAGAAATTTAAATTTGAAAGAGAATGCTCAATGATGATTCTGGAACAAATTCTTTATTTTTTAGATGATGAAATTGATGTCAGGAAAATTGGAATGATCATCTAAGGTAACAAGGTAAGTGAAAGGGAATTTTAAATCAAGCTCAGAATGAATCCTAAATCCAGTGTTTATCTTCTGTCTCACTATTCTTCAGTTCTATGATTTGGATCACAAATATGACACAAAGGCTCAGTGGCATTTCATTCATCCGGGTAACATTACTGAGGTATAATCCTTTTAATCAACAGTGAACAGAAAGGTATGCTTAAATTGTTATATTTTATTTAGGATTTGTATGGTCTCCTGTGGTCGTCTCAAGAAGACATACTGGTTATGTAGTTTTCATACAAATCCCAAATAACCTCTCAGTATTTGTGTGGTTTATGGCCTGGTTTCTACCACTACTGAAAATTTTATGGTTCAGTGGGGTGAGGAAAGGGAGCAAATGTTATCTTGTTAACCCATAAAATGCTTCTGAGTGGAATTATATTTGTCACCAGATTCTGGTAAGAGGAAAATGTAACACATTTCTGTCCTCATGGCCTACTGTATAATGATACTTAATTTAAGAATGGCATGTAATTATCCCATGTGATTATTATCTTGGCACTCTGACATGCTGAGCAAAAAGATCATAAGTTCAAGCTCAATCTGAGCATCTTAATGACTTTGTAAGACCCTGTCTCAAAATTTAAAAAATACATAAAATGCTGGGGATATAGCTTAGTGTGCATATCCTGGTGCTGAGTACTGAAAATAAATTGCTATGTCAGGGCTATAGATTTCTATGTTAAAATTAAAAGCAAAATTTGTACAACAAAATGGATTTTAATTACTGAAAGCTCCCCTAAAGGGCTAGTTGTATTATTAAAATGCACTTTGGTTCACATGCATGATCACTAGAACAAATGATCTAGTATAGGACTAGTACATTTCACTTGCTGGTTGTAGAATTTAATACATATACTGTTAAGTCTACAGTCAAGAATGAGATTTAATTCACTTGTGATTTTTAAAATAAGTATTTAAAAACAAACAAAGGGGAAGGGCCAGGGATTTAGCTCAGCGGTTCAGTGGCCTGCCTTGTAAGCACAAGGGCCCGAGTTCAATCCCTGGTACCAAAACAAACAAACAAACAACAACAACAACAAAAAACAAAGAGGAATTAATTATAAATTTAGATAACAAAATGAACGACCAAAATATTTTAGAAAATTTGAGTGAAAGTTAGGCTATAAATCCCCACTATTGGTGTACATCTCTGAGTAATGCATGGGAGGTAATTAAAGATACAAGGTAAGTATCAAATAGATACATTTCATTTTTTGAGAAACCTAATTTAATAAAAAACTTAATGACTTAAATATTTTATATCATTTTATACTTGGTTACATTATGGCAACAAATGCAATTATAATAAGGTAAAAATTATACAAGCAGATAATTTTTGTCTACTCCAGCGATACATGTTAGTTTTTCTGCCATTTGGTTATGACAGCAGTTAACTCCGAGACACAGATGAAGAGAGTTTGCAAATTGACGTAACACAATTTGATTTGTCAGAGTTCCCCATAGAAACAGAACCAGTAGGATATACTCTATATTTATACAATTGTTGATTGTAAGAAAGTGGCTTATGTGATTATGCATGCTCAGGAACTCCCAGATTTGTAGGTGGCAGGTTGGAGATCCGAGAGAAGCATTGGTGGAACTTCAGTCCGTGTCCAAATCCTTGAGACAGCAGGTGCTGTCAGTTCCAGTGTGAGACTAAGTCAGAAGGCAGGAAGTGACTAATGCCCCACTTGGAGACAGTCGGGCAGAGAGAATGAGCTTCCCCTTCCTTAGACTTTTGTTCTACTCAGGTGTTCAACCGGTATATTAGGTCCTGCCCATGTCAGGGAGGCCAATCTACATAACCCAGTGCATTTAATATTAATCTCATCTAGAAACAACCTCCAGGACATGCCCAGAGTGATGTTAACCAAGTATCTAGGCAGTCATGGACCCTGAAGTTGCCATTTCAGATTAACTATCAGAACAACTTTTCCATTTTATCTCTCTTTGGACATCAGTGTAAATAATCAAAGTTATCCACCACAGGTAAAAAAGGGAAAAGGCCAGGTCTTCTCCTTTGAGAATGAACAGGACAATAATGTGACTAAGAGATGAAAGATTATATTCAGTTTCAAAGTTGGCAGAGAATCTAAGAACCTCTCACTTTTATATTAGGGGACACAGGTTTGGCTGAGCCCTAGGCTACAATACTCTTAAGACACCTGTCACAATGATGATTTTAGTCCTGCCTACTCATACAGAATCCGTGTCCTCCATTCATCTTGGGATAAATTTGAATTGTATGTGAAATTGTGAAATAGAGGGAAAGATTTAATAATCATTCCACTTAGTAAGTACAGCTGAGGCAGGTAATTAAACAGGTTTTCTCTTGCCAGTAGGCCTAAAGCAGTATAGCTTAGAGTCTCAGTCACACCACTGGGCTTAGATAGAAAGCTAATATTAAGCAGGACTTCTTCAAGCAAGCCTATGTCAGCATCTCTGTTCTTAGTAAACAGAAGTTATTAAAGGGGCCTCGTACGGCTACCAGAGGCCTGCCAAAAATTCAGCCTCAGGCATATTGGCTTTATAGTCTGAAAAATGAAAGGGGACTAGAATAACTAAAAAGTATTATCATTATTATTGAGATGGAAGTCATCTGATATCTGGGTGATAAGAATGACTACTCAAACACTGGGAAGCTAGTTTCTTAATTAAAATTTTGAAATTTTCTTAGCATTATGAAAATATAATACTTAGAATACAATGTGTCTCATAAACTTACTGTTGGCCAATCAGCAAATTGTTCAACATGGTCTCCATTTGTGGCTTGTACAAAAAAATGCCCTGGATTCTATAAAATTGTTCAACTAAGTATAGTTTATAGATCACCTGTTCCCTCACATTGTCTCAAATAACTTGATTTCATCCTTTTTGTGTCCAAATAGAATGTTCTTGTGTAATTGTACCACAAATTTCTTTATCCATTACTAGTTATGGGACATATATGCTGTTTGCATTTCAAGACTATTGTGAATAGCGTTAGGATGAATATAAGAGTGCAAATATCCCTTCCACAGGCTGATTTCATTTCCTTTGGACACATACCGAGTAGAGGAAGTGCTGGAAATATGGTAGTTCTATTTTTAATTTTTTGTGCAAGCTCCATACTCTATATTAATTTATGTTTCCACCAACAATATGAAGACTTCCATTTTCTTTACACCTGCATCAGCACTGGTTATCTTTATTATTTTGATAAGAACTATTCTTCTTCTTTTTATTCATTCATTTGTTCATTAATTTTTGAGACAAGCTTGTTATGTAGTTCAGGCTGGCCTTGAACTCACACTGTGGCCCAGACAGGCCTCAAACTTCTGGTGATCCTCCTCCCTCAGCCACCCAAGTGCTGGTATTACAGGTGTGTGTCACAATGAGTAGTCTGATAATAGCCATTCTTACTGGAGAAAAGTGAAGGCTCACTGAGGTTTTCAATTATATTTCCTTGGTTGTTAATGAGAATGAGAATTTTTTTTTCTTATACTTGTTGACTATTTGTAGGTTTTATTCGGAGAATCATCTGTTTAGCTTTGTGGATATATATATTTCAGTGTCTTTGCATTGAGCTACCGTACACCCCTAGCCCTTGTTTTCTTTTTGAGATAGAATCTTGCTAAATTGCTAAATTCCCCAGTCTGGGATTTGACCTTCAATCCCAATGCCTTGTTCTCTGCTATCTACTTTTTTTGCTGCCTGATATATAATTTGCAAATATTTCCTATTTGGTGGCTTAACTCTTTGGTGATTATTTCTTTGGCTATGCAGAAGCTTTTTAGTTTGGTATAATCTTTTTAGTTTGGTATAATTTCATTTGCATATTTTTTTCTTTCATTTCCCATGACTTTGCATTCTCTTCCAAAAAATTTTGGCCATTCCTGTCACAAAGCATTTCCTTGTTGTTTTCTCTAGTATATAGTTTAATAGTTTCTCTCTCTCTATTTCCTTAATCTGCCTTTTAATTTGTGCTTTTTAATATATTAAGTTTTTCATAATATTTAAGCTTGTGTTTCTGATTTACTTTACTTAACATTATGCTTTCAAGGAGCACTTATTTTCCTATGAATGACTTATATTTATATTTAAACTTCACTTCACATTAGTTTTCCAAATGGTAAGTGATAGGGATTCAGATTCATTCTTCTCTATGTGGATACCCAATTTTCCTAGAACTATTTATTGAAAAAAAAGTGTCTTTTCTTCAAGGCATATCCTTAGCAATTTTATCAAAAGTCAGTTGGCTGTAGATGTGTGGCTTTAGTTCTAGGCACTCTAATCTGTTCCACTGGTTCTATATGTCTGCATTTATATCAATACAAAACTATTTAAATACTGTATTATTATAATAGACTTTTAAATCAGATTCTGTAATGCCTCTTGCTTTTCTTTTTTTCTCATCATCATCGCTTTGGTTATTTATTGGTTTTGTGCATGTTTCCATTCAAATTCAGATTTTTCTCTAGTTCTTTGAAAAATGTCATTGGTATTTTGATACAGATTGCACTGAACCTTTAGATCATGTTGATAGAGCATTTTAACAATATCCTTCTAATCTATGAACACTGAACATCTTTCTATATTTTTCCATCTTAGATTTTTTTAATATTTTAAATCTTGTTTTTATTTTATTTATTTTAATTGAGTTTATTGGTACATTCTAGGTACACAGTACAGTTACATTCATCATTGGGATCTTGTACCTTTACATGACAGGTCTCGGTTCTCATTTTTTCCCCTTGTCCCTGCCCTCCCTTCACACCCTCCTCCCCTCTCCCTTTACAAACACTTTATTTCCGTTTTTTCATTTTGTCTTATTTTTTTTTCTTTCCCTTATTGCCTTTCCCCTACCCTTCCTACTGTCCCTACACCTTTAGCCTTTTTCTTCCTATTTCACATTGTCCATTATCTCATTAGCTCTTTTACTTTTTGGTTAAACTTTCTCTTAAATATTTT